GGGCTAACCAGAAAAGATGTAAAAGACTTGACTTGCTTAGGAAGGCAGTGTTATAAATTGCCGTTTGTGATTTTGGCTACAGTGACGTTCTTTGGAGCGCTTGTATCTTTGGGTCTAGCGATAAGGACGAGAGAGTTTTACAAAGGTGATATCTACAATAAGTTTAGGGAAAGTCCTGAATCCGAATCTGTATTGGTCTCTGATTCAAGAAAGTCTTGATGAAGGAAAAAAAACAAAAGCTGTTGTATTTGTCTGTAAATCACTATCAAACAAAGGGTTATGTGTCTGTTTAATCATAGATGAATAAATTATTAGTAGAGAGCCGTTTCTTTGGTTTTATCTTCAACGTGGTTTATTATTCATTTACTAAAGCCCCAAGTTGTGGAAGCGTTTTTTCTGTCATATTATGGTTAATGGTCTATTTAAAAGACAAAAAAAAGTTATAGTAATCATGTGATCATGCATATTCTTAAATCATTACAAAACGTACGTGTTCACGTGTTGCATTTGCAATGTTAAATCGTAAGAGCTGTCATGTTGCACTTGCGTCTGATTCTCTCTCTCACCAACTGTGGATAACGCACGCTGCTTAGCTATTGATTTACCTATTTGCCCATCTGAGCTATATTTTAGACGATTTGAAATATTCTGGTGTGTGAAATTAAATTCTAGCGATAGAGTAGAAAAAGCCAAAAATTTGTCACTCTTTTGAGAAAAATTGTATAATTTGACTTATTAGGGTGTGGATGGAGACTCCAGCACATTGCGGTTCATCGGTTCATGTGATATATTTTGGTCAATCGTTTTCGTTTCCAATTACATCAAAACTTTGCAAGTGGGGAATTTAGAAGCAAAAAGTTTACTTGCATTGGTTACATTTTATTCTTGTTTATTTTTGGTCATGTGTTACATGATCACACAAGGACGGTATATAACACTCAAATTTTGGTGATCCAAATGTGTTTTTATGGTGTCTATAGTCAATTCTTTTGAAAAGGTTTGAATTTTTTTGAATGTTTTTATAAATTTAAATTTATCGACTAATACCACTAGAAATGCTAGAAAAACTTGGTTAAAGATTCATAGTCATTATCCCTGTTCTGCTTTTTTTTTTCCTGTTATTTCTGTTCATTTTACATTCTATTTTGCTCGCAAAACATCAAAGATCGTTGTAGCTCTCGCTCTTTGTTTTTTTTTCTTTAATTAATACACCTGTTTTGCCTAATGGATCTACCTAAAAATAAGATCTCAAATACATAAGCTGTTAAGAGGCTTTTTGTGGTGTAGACTCGGTTTGGAAACAGAGTTTGATAAGGATGGAGTCTAGTGATGTAGTTGTCAAAGGATGAGACACTTTCAAAACCAGTTCAGGTTTTTTTTTGTTTTCGTCTGATTTTTTTCATTATATAACACAAAGGAAATATATAAACATACAATATGATTTTAATACACAAAACCAGCAGGAAATGAAAAATTCACAGAAACTAGCCCTAAAAAAAGGGAGAGGAAACCCCAACATAAGGGAAACAAACCTAACAATTAACTAGCAAGCTCTAAACCATAAAACTCTGAAAATTGAATACTCCATAGAACCCGTAATTTTTGCGATTTTGAAGAGAACTCAGTTCAGGTTAATAAGAATGTAATTTTTTCAAATTGATATATAGGGAAAACGTATTTATTGTCCTGGCATAGTACAAAATATAGTGACTCACGTTACACAAATACAACAGTTATGTAATATTTTTTGGTGATTCATCCTGTTGGGCTTTTCAAGTCCATGTCTAACTATTTATTGATATTGTTTGCTTTGAGTTAAAGTGGCAAAATCCGTACGGATTTGTTTTTAGAGTTCTTTCCCAAAAGATCTCATATTAAATTGTTAGACATCTTGTTTATATACTAAACCATATTAGTCTAAACTTCCAATGTGAGATGGATTGATATCCCAACAATCCCTTTCTCAAACCAAGAACCACATAAACCTGTGGCTTTCCAACCTCTTGCAAAACTTGGCACCCATATTGTATCGCCCAACCTAATCCTTCGCGCACCGTTAGAAATACTTTCGACACAAAGTACCAGCACCCCGATCGCAAGATCACTTTGAGGGCTCTCTCTCTCCCACACCGAACACACCGCCCACACCCACTTGTCCAGGTTCACATTTTCCAGAACTTTGCTCTGATACCAATTGTTGGGTTTTTCAAGCTCATGTCCAACTCCTTGTTAGTATGATATTGTCCGTTTTAAGCCCAAGTAGCAAAGTCCGCCCATATTTGTTTTTGGGCTCCTTCCCAAAAGGTATCATACTAAAACTGTTGGACATCTTGCTTATATACTAGACCATATTGGTCTAAAACTTCCGATGTGGGACTTTGATTGATATCCCAACACATCCATATCGTGGAAAAAAAAACAACTAAATGTATACCTATCATCGATTGAAACCAACTACATGTCGATTGTCATTGCTTGTAGTGATCTTAAACTACATAGCTGGACGATTGCACCCTATGCTTTTCCTCTAAGCCAACATTAATGCCGATTACCCGGTTGTATATATAAGATTAATGAAAATTATCCAAAATTATATATACTAGACTTGTACCAGCGCATACGCACGGGTTTTGTTTCACATAATATTTTTAAAAATATATATGTGTTGATATATATATATATATTAATTATAAGAATATGGTAATTTGTTTGACTGTTTAGTATTAGGTTTTTAAAAAATAAATTCTTTATAAAACAAATAACTTTCTTTTAAAGGATTGGAAGTATGGTAATTAGGAAAATTATTCTACTATTCTAAAAATCATAAACATGATATGAGTAAAAAAGACGTAGATAAAAGTCATATTTTCTGGTTGAATTACTTGAAAACAGATAATTACCTCTGATTTTTAATGTTCTCAAATTTATGACATGTACAATTGCCTTGATTCTGCAAGAACTACCCATACTTTATATTTCACAATAAAATGCAGCTATAATAATATTATATTTGACCCATAAAAATCGTCAAATCTTTGAATGAAGATAACGCTATATCTTTACATTTTTTCATATAACAAGCTTCGAAAAAAGTATTTATAATGAGGATAAACCGGAAGAAAAGTATCAAATTAGTATAAAAAATATTTAAAAGTTTTAGACGAATACCAAAAAGTTAAAAATGTAAAAAATTAGAAATGTTGTTTATTTATTTTTATTAAGAATTTGAAAAGCCTTAATATTAATGTAACTTAATAGTTATGAACATAAATACATATGAAATAAACATTAAATATCATAGTTAAGTTAGAAGTAGTGGTATTAATTAGTTTTTAATTTTTTATTTTAAAATTTATAATTTATTAATTAGATGAAATGACAGATGTTCTCCATTCAGATGCTGATGTGGCAGCATGATGGAGAGAGTTCACCTAAAATCATATATACTAGACTTGTACCCGTGCATACGCGCGGGTTTTGTTTCAGATAATATTTTTAAAAATATGTTTGTGTTGATATATATATATATATATTATTATAAGAATATGATAATTTGTTTGATTGTTTAGTATTAGGTTTTTTAAAAATAAAATCTTTGTAAAACAAATAACTTTTTTTGAGGATTAGAAGTAGGCTAAGTAGAAAAATTATTCTACTATTTTAGAAATCATAAACATGATATGAGTAAAAAAAACGTAGATAAAAACCATATTTTTTGGGTTGAATTGCATAATGTTCTCATATTTTATGATATGCACAATTGTCATGATTCTGCAAAAACCACCTCATACTTCATGTTTCACAATAAAATGTAGCTCTAATAATATGATATTTGACTCATAAAAACCGCCAAATCTTTGAATGTAGAGAATGCTACATCTTTATATTATTTCATATAACAAGCTTCGAAAAAGGTGTTCATGATGATGATAAGTCGAAAGAAAAAATATCAAATTAGTATAAAAAATATTAAAAGTTTTTAGACGAATACCAAAAGATTAAAAATGTTGTTTATTTATTTTTGTTATGAATGTGAAAAGTCTTAATTTTAATGTAACTTAATAGTTATAAACATAAGTACATATAAAATAAACATTAAATAGAAAAATTAAATTAGAAGTAGTGGTATTAATTAGTTTTAAATTTTTTATTTTAAAATTTATAATTTATTAATTAAAAAGGACAGATGTCCTCCATTCAGATGCTGATGTGGCAGCAGAATGGAGAGAATTCACCTAAAATCATATATATGATGATTTTTAATTCCTCTATTTTTTCAAAATTATTTGAATTATCCAAACACCTACAAATCATCCAAATTAATGTGAGTTTGAATAACTTTTGAGGTATCTGAATTTCTCGTCTCTTATTCTTATTCTGTATAAAATATCCAAATATCCGTTTTCATTCCTTACCCGCTAATTTTCCTTTGACATCCAAAATGTATTCTTCAGTCTCTAACTTCAAAAGAAAAAGCTGTTTGCATAACCTAGTATAGTCAACTTGTTATATTGACGTTTACTAACTACTATGCTTCTGGACATTCAAAATTTCAAATATCGATTTTGGTTCAGTATGGTTTTTTAGGTTTTGAGTATTTCGATATAAGATTTATTTCAATATTTCTTTTTTTTTGGGGTTTAGATTCGGTTCGATTCTATCTGAGTTAGAGTCGGTTTCAGATACCCGAAATTTAACTCAAATACTTGACAAAAAAACTTAAAAAATGGTTTGATTTAAGAAAATTTGGTTAAGTTTTGTAAAAATTGTTTAAGTTTGACAAATTCAGTTTGGTTCAATATCTCCTAATGCGGTTCGGTTCAATATCTCCTAATTCGGTTCAATTCCAATTCGATCTTTGGTTTCAGGTTTTATGGCCAGACCTATTGACAAGTAACAACTAAAAATAATTGGTTGGCATATCATTTTGTGAAAAAAAAAAATTGGTTGTCAAAATTCTTGGCATTTACATCCAGCGACGTCTCCGTTTGGAACCTAAAGTGATCTCTTTTAAACACACTCCTCATTCGCGCTTCCCCACGCTGCAAAGAGTTTAAGCCTTTGGTCTCAACAAAGGAGGTCGAAGAAGCTAAAGTTTCAGAGACAGAGACAGAGACAGAGACAGAGACAGCAAGTTAACCATGAATATGGATGGGCCTCTTGATTTCGAGAACGAAGATCCTCTCGTTAACCCTCCAGCGTCAGTTGGGAAAAGGTCAATTCTTTTATCTTTAGGGTCGCGATTTCTCTTTCTTTCATACCATTTCCTGGATTTGTTGTCATAGTAAAGAAATTCGATTCAATTGTAGACTAGGGTTTTTCGAAATTCGGAAAATTTGGGTTCTTGATTAGGGTTAATTGAAAACCTCTCAATTTTCTCAATGAAAGCTCAAACCTTTGAATATGTTGATGTAATTGAACCTCTGAAGTTTGAGGATTTTGAAGTCTTTATCTTTATCACCTGTGTCACATCAGGAAGAAAGTTATTGGCTTGGACGATCTTCTCTCTGATTTCTACAAAGAGAAGAGCAAGCTTATAGACAAGCAGAACAAGAAACGGAAAGTCTCCAAGGTTTATGATTCAGATGAAGATGAACATGGCCAAGAAGCTTTGCTTTCTATTGTTGATAGCTGCCAGAATCAGGCATGAATGAGTAATTCATCACATTCTTTAAGTTTATATATGACTAAGAACGTTATGTTGATGCGATGTTTTGGTGATTATTGGGTTACAGATGAATGAGATAGGCGGTGAAGAAGATATCCAAGAGTGGGGATTATGCATGTTTGGAGATCAGGCAAGGCTGATTTCTTCCAATGTTAGATGATGTTTCAGAGTAAGTGATAGTTGTGTGAAATTTATCATCTTTGATGTTTTGTTTATACAGAAAGCTCCAACACCTCCACTACTTGCGGATCTCGAGGATTGCTACTTGTTGAAAGAGTTTAAGAATAGTGAGTCAAATTTGGTGGTGGATCTTAGTCCAGACAATGGTTTGTTTTTCTATGAACTCGTCGTCTTTAGTTTATCTTCCTTTCCCTTGAGAACGATGCCACTCTCTTCGGGTTTAAAGTAATAGACTTCACTGTACTTTCCAGGAACGGCTATTCTTGAAGGATTGCTGGTTAACGGCTGGCTCACAAAACTGGTCTTGACATGTGCGCGTGTGGAAGAAATCATATGCAAATGGACGCTCAATCTTTGTACGTGTCTAGCTTTTTCTTCAAGTTTCTTTACCCTACGGACTTTGGCTTACCCTATGGTTTTTGATGTATTGGACTTATCAGTGTTGTATTCATCAAAAGAAGATCTAAGATCATCTGCTTGTGACTTCTGGTGTTCCTTACTGTCATCGCAAAACGAGGTACTGCTATGTACTTTCTTTTAGCTTCCAGGGCTTATTACTTTATGTTCTTACTGAAACGGATTCTTTGGATTTCAAACACTGTGGTTTAATCAGGTTAATGGAGCTCCTGTTGAAATACACTGGCTTCCTAACTATCAGCAACTTAATGAAGCTCTTGAATCATACGGGTTCAGAATTATTTCGTCACAAGATGTTGAACTAGCTGAAGCCGGTGGGTTTCCTGTTGCTCATTTATTATCGGTTAATTTTTCTTTGGCTTTTGATAATAGTTGATAATAGTCTGTCTACAACTGAAGTATACTTACTTTTGGCTTGAAGATTCTGAGTCTCAAGGTCCTCCTCAGAATATTAGAGCTTGGCTCAAATTTGTCGCAGCTTGTTGTCAAATTAGGTTTGTGGCACTAAACTCTCTTTTACAGATAGCAAAGACATTATTCATACATATTATAACTTGTATATGTACATGGCCATGTGATCAGTGAGTTATTGGACTCTATTTTCATACATTTTGATTACTCCTACCTTGTCTGTTGCTTTCATTGATTCAGGTGTAAAAATCCCATTTTTACCACTTCACAAGTTGAACAGATAGCTGAAATCCTTGTATGGCTGCTCTTAGATCGTGCTCTTCAAGGTCTTTCACTTCTCTTACAAGAGTGCTTAATATCTGTCATTGGATCCTTCAAAGAGGAAGAATGGGTTTCAAGCTGCAAGGAAATAGCTAACTCTCTTGCTTCCAGGTTCGGCCTCCTCTATTCCTGTAGCATCATTGGCCGTTTGTTTTATCTATTAATTGACTTACGCAGTTGCTTCTCTGGTCTTGATGCATCTGCAGAGTACCTCAAGACATGAATTGTTTGAGGATAGTGGAATCCGTTTCAGGTGTTGATACTCGAAGCAAGTATCTGAGAAGTTCCATCTCAAATCAAATGCTTGTTGTTTTACTTGATCATAAGGTAACCAAGAACTAATTTTTACATAACAATACCAAAAAGTTAAGACTGTAGCAAAGGGCATTGAATACATTCTATGGTGTTGATTTCTCTCTATTAACAGGATAGCGACGAGAATATGATGAGCTCTCTGATGTCTATCAATCTGAAGGAGAAAAATTGTAACCTTTTCAGAACTTACATTTTCTTGGTTTTGGCGGAGAACTGGCTCTTCTCCAGTAAATTGGTAGAAGAAAAGCCGGTACTCAAGGACATGTGGGCTGTGTTTCTCAGAAACTGTTCTTGTCAGATTAGCAGCACCGATCTGCGGCCTTATGCATCAAAAGTGAGTAGAAAAGCAAACTTTTGATGTTCTCTTCTTTTTTACTTTGATCCTCGTCTTTTATTTTCAGGTTCATCTGACAGTATAACTTCGGTTTCTTGGTTCTTGATAGGTTCGTACCAAAGCCGCCTATCTTCTCCAAGGATGCAGTAGCAATTGAAGTGCTAAATCTGAAACTTTAGCAGTAACTTTCCTGAGTGAAATGTCTTTAGTATTAGGTTTTGTTCTAATATAGTCTTTACAACTAAAAATCTGAAATGTAGAACCCTTAATTAATCCTTATTTTTGCCCATGTCTTGGTGTTAAAGAAAATTCATCTTTGTGTCACTGATGGATTCTTTGGTAGATGTTGACAAATCTATGACTCATTGAGTGGTACTATTATTGTTATACCATCATTTAGTTTTTTTAATATATTTAATTAATGTTAATTAGTGAATATTTAGTGGTTAAACAAATTCATTTGAGTTTACATATTCAGGGTCTTTTTTTCCAATTTTCCCGATCGAAGTTTTAGCCGACTAGTTCGCTGCATAATGTATTATTCATTCATGACTAGACATCAGGCTGATAGTTGGTCATCTATCTAATTTAATTAAGCCGGACGTTTAGTTCGTTTGCCCTCTAACTGATTAACTTTAACTCTTTAACTACTAATTATAATGGACGCCTTTAACCAGTGTTTTTAAACCCGGATTGGACCGGCGGTCAGACCAGGTTGGACCACGAACCGGAGGTGTAGCCGGGTTGAGTTAAAAACCGGATTGAACCGTCAAAAACCAGAAATTAGATAAATCGATAAACTGTATTAAACCGAATTTAACTAAAAAAAAACTTAAATCATTTTTTTTTTTACGTTTTTTAAGAGGTAACAAGTCAATTTAATTTTTGTTTATTTATTTTTACTTTAAAAATAAAAGATAAGGTTTCTAAAATATTTGACCAAAAAAAAAAGTTTCTAAATCATAATTCTTCTATACTTCTTTTGGTTTTTTTTTTAAATCCATATATAATTATTTGAAAAATTTTATCAAACCCGGTTGAACATGGTCTAACCATACTAACCCATGACCCAAAAGCTTTCCCGGTTCGGTCAGCGGTCCGGTTTTAAAAACATTACCTTTAACAAAATATATTAACAATGGACTCGTTTCAATTGTGAAAATCGTGATTAGATAAAACGGGCCATTTTCCTTAATTTATTGACATATCTTAACTAGCTGCGATGTTCCGCGTGTGTAATGTTGAAATATGTTAGGAAATTTGGCTTTTTCATCCTTGGACTTCGAAGGCACTTTCGGT